CCCCAAAACCCCAAAACCCCAAAACCCCAAAACCCCATAGTTAAAAAAGCAGTGTAAACTAGTCCTTAATATTCTAGATTTTCAAATTCAAAAATATAAAAAATCAAAATATTAACTACGACTCAACCCTAGATACTACAGCTACTATATGAGCTATTAAGAAAGCTCAAGGGTTCCTTAAAACTAATCAAGTGTGCAATACTTAAGCCAAGGTCTAAAAACCTTCTAATGAAAAGAGCGGAGTTTATGAATCAGCTTAGGAAAGTGCTTAGAGATTAAAAATTATTTACGAGTAAAACACAAAATAGTTCAAATGCTGATAGAATTTAATAAGACCAATCTTAAAAAGCGCAAATAACTAACTAATCAAGTAAGAATACCTGACTATGAAAACAATCAAGAGGAACTATATTTATGCCGCATTGTCTTGAGGGCTTCTCTTAATGTCAGCTAAGAACAATGCACCGGGCAAGAAAAGTATAATGTAGAATACTTTCACTAGCTTCTCTGACTTGAATTAAAGCAAGAATTGATAATCTGTCCATCTTGTAGACAAATAGGTAAAGATTTCAAAAACTAAAGCATTATCTCAATAAGATTCATAAAGAATTAGAAAATAGACCAATCAATATAAACTAAAAAAATTCATAACATGAAAGTTATGATTGTGTCAGCTTATGAAATGATGTAGCAAGAAAAGAAGCATACTTTTGCACATAAATCTGAATAAATCAATCCGGAATATATCTACAAATCCAATAATGGCTATGGTAACCCTAAAATACTATTAAGGCAATTACTTAATGGGTGAGCCTATTCATTTCAATGGTGATATCAGAAATGATTTTTTGAAAGAGAACATAGTTAGCCAAATTATAGCAAATATAAATTACCTGAAGTAATTTTTATTTGATCCAGGATGGAAAATAAGATCTTCACTTCCTTACCAATGCTTAGAAACTATATTCATAAGAAGCAAACTTCTAACTAAGATTAAAATTTAAGGATTGATATTCTATTGGTAGCTACTCTCATACCATACTTTTACTTCTAGAATTTCTTAAAGCTCACGGGTATTAAATAATCCATGTTTGAAGTGGTATAAACTTAAAAAACAGGAAAATCAATAAATTGTAAAAAGCCTGAGTACTCATTTGAATGTTCCTTTGCTGGAGTTAAAGAGAGATCAACTAACTAAATAACACGCGAAATTACTAAAAATGACGAGAAGTAATTCTGAATAGCCATACGTGGCATTATATCTACAAGTGGCTCCTATTCTCACTAAGATTTGGACTATTTGCAAGAAAGATAGCAGAAAGAATAAAACAATTCATGATGAAAATGAAATAAAATTAGTAGAGTGTCTTCAAAATGGAGATAGAAAACTTAAAGAATACTTAAATTGGAAAGAGTTCAAAAGGATTCTGAATATTCAGAGATGCATTTATTGTGAGTGATTACTTCTAACAATTAATAATAATAATAATAATTCAAGATTATCATTCAATGTTTAGAATCTAATTAAATCTAAAAATAATTTCTAATTAAAAAGCACTAATTTAGTTAGAGGGGTTTTGGGGTTTTGGGG